ATATATGTTGTCACATATATGTTGTCATATATATATGTTGTCACATACTGTTGACATATATAACTTGTCATATATATGTTGTCACATATATGTTGTCACATATATGTTGACATATATAACTTGTCATATATATGTTGTCACATATATGTTGTCACATATATGTTGACATATATAACTTGTCATATATATGTTGTCACATATATGTTGTCACATATATGTTGACATATATAACTTGTCATATATATGTTGTCACATATATGTTGTCACATATATGTTGACATATATAACTTGTCATATATATGTTGTCACATATATGTTGTCACATATATGTTGACATATATAACTTGTCATATATATGTTGTCACATATATGTTGTCACATATATGTTGACATATATAACTTGTCATATATATGTTGTCACATATATGTTGTCACATATATCTTGTCATATGTATGTTGTCGTATATAACTTGTCATATATATGTTGTCACATATATGTTGTCACATATATGTTGACATATATAACTTGTCATATATATGTTGTCACATATATGTTGTCATATATATCTTGTCACATAAGACGCTCTGCTCCACAGCTCCACCAACCATCAAGGGGGAGAACGACACCTCCGAGGTGTCGGTGGTTCTGGGCTTCTCCACCCTGCTCCTCTGTGAGGTCGAGGGTTCGCCGCCCCCCAGCATCACCTGGCTCAAGGACAACCAGGCCATCGTGTCCAGCCCTCAGCTGACCTACACCCAGGGGGGACAGGGCCTGAGACTGGGCTCGGCCGGGGGGGACAGCGCCGGGCTGTACACCTGCAGGGCCGCCAACCCCGCTGGCAGCGCCACCAAACAGTACTCTGTCAGCATCCTGGGTGAGAACTGATGTCTCCTGACGCAGATGAGACGGAGGACGTCCTGGTTACTGAAGGAATGTGTCTGTCTCTCCCCCCCGTCCCGTCCCCGTCCCCCACAGTTCCACCGCAGATCGAGGGCGACTCCTTAACGTCGTTAACGTTTAAAGGTCACGGCGAAAAAGTGCGGGTCAACGGGACTTTAACCCTTTCCTGTCTGGCAAAAGGTTTCCCTGAGCCGAAGGTCAACTGGTTCAAGGACGGACAGGTACTGGGAACCGATGCCAGAACGGGACAAACGAGAGACGAGCAGATCAGAGGGACAGTTCAGGGGGAGGGGGAGGAACAGGGGGGAGGACAGAGGGTGAGACGGAGGGACATGATCAGTGTACGACCTGGTTATTAGAAAGTTCCAGGTCAACGGTTGTCTCTTCCGTCCTCAGTTGCTGACTGGAACCGTCCACGCTGGCCTTCAGGAGAGCGGACATGTCCTCCACATAGAGCGCGCCCTGCTGTCCCACGAGGGCCGGTACACCTGCGTGGTCACCAACTCTGCGGGAGAAGACAAGAGGGACTTCCACGTCTCCATTCAGGGTGCGTCCACGCTGACCTTTGACCTTTGACCTTTGACCTTTTGACCGTACGACGTCAGTCCCGCGGCCGGTTCTCACTGCTCGTCGGTTTCCAACAGTTCCTCCGGTGTTCCACCGCGTGACCAACAGAGAGGCGGCCTGGGGACTGGGCCACGAGGAGGACGGCGGTCAGGAGGAGACGGCGGAGACGAGGGAGGTGGTGCTGGGGGTCAACTGGTTCAAGGACGGGAGGAAGCTCTCCCCCACGGACGGGTCGGTCGTCCTCCCAGGTCAGGAGAACCGTCCTCTTCACGTCTGTGTCTGTCTGTGAGTCAGTGAGGTCAAGAGGTCAAAGGTCATGTATCTGCCGGTTCTCTGCTGAAGGTGGACAGGCCCTGCAGATCTCCAGAGTCCAGACAGAAGACGGGGGACGGTACACGTGTCAGGCGGTCAACGAGGCGGGCGAGGACCAGCTGCACTTTGACCTGGAGGTCCTGGGTAAGAACACAGACGTTCCTTTGAACCTGGTCCAGGTCCTCAGACGCGGAGACCCTCCGTGACTGAAGACCCGTGTCCTCCACAGTCCCCCCGGTCATCACCGGAGCCTCCGAGGAGTTCATGGAGGACGTCGGGGCCGTGGTCAACAGCACCGTGGTCCTACACTGTGACGCCACCGGACGCCCAGCTCCGCTGGTCTCCTGGCTGAGGGACGGACGGCCCGTCCACACGGACCCCCAGCACCGCGTCACCCTGGACGGGGCCCGACTTCAGGTTGATCCTCCTGGACTGCAGTGTCCGTCTTCATGTTGTCTATGACTTAACCTTTGACCTTTGACCTTCTTTTCTGAGATGAAAACTAAAACAGGAAGTGAAGTGAGGCTTAATCTGGTTGGAGGAACAAATGAACTGACCTCTGACCTCTGACCTCTGGTCCTCAGATCCTCAGTGTCCAGCCCTCTGACATGGCCGGGTATCTGTGTGTGGCTGAGAACAAGGCGGGAACTGTTGAGAAGATGTTTAGTCTCACAGTCCAAGGTAAGACCTGGACCAAGGTAAGACCTGGACTCCAGGACTCCAGGACTCCAGGTCCCGGACTCCCCGAGCCCCCGGGTCCCCGAGCC